AGGAAGATACGGCACCTGACGTGCCTCGATAGGTGAGAACATCCGGTGAGACAACAGACCCAAACGCCCTTTGGAAAACATAAGGATTGTTATTATTAACTCAACAGTAAGAGTCCTCAAGAGAGAATCCAATTTCACTCAATCCCTTTGGCCAGTTGGGATCTGGTGACAATCTGTGGTCATGTTAGAAATTCTGAATGGAGACCTGTCACAGGTCCCATGTAGAGGAAGTTTAGGTTATAGTAATAAAAGTAGGACCTTGGTCACACCCCCAACCTGCCTTTCTGACCTTGTAACCCGTTGTCACCTGCAAGAACTCTGTCCAAACCAGTCTACTGACCATCTCCCAAACACAATGGAGATTCCATTGTGATTCAACCATTCCCCTCACCTCAAATCAACTCTCTTCGTGCACACATCATTCAACATCGTACCTGAACTTCAAAAACAGTTCCTCTACTCTGACAACCAGTGCTCTCTAGGGCTCACTTGGTGATGAGTTCTGCACTGTCTTGTTACAGTTCTTATGTGATTCTCTGAATGTGTCCTGTCCATTTCTCATTGTTATAATTCCCGTGCATCTCTAGCCTGCCTCTCCAGTTACACTGCAAGTTTGCTAAAGCCAGTGACTGGCTTGTATTATTCTTGTAAAAAATAAATACTCAGCAAATATTTGTTGGCTATTAAAAAAGGAAAATGTCCAAAGGAAGAAAATGGTTAAATAAAGAAGAATTTATAATGAAATCTGTGAGAAAAAGTTATAGAACAGCAAGTTGTCAACGAAATCCATTCGAAATAGACCAGGGAACTCGTATATTCAGAAGAAGCCCAAAAATCTGAAGTCAAATTTTTGAAGTAGAAAGAAACTTCAGGGTAATCAACTTCACATTCTTCATTCATTGCACACAATCACTCATTCATTTCTCTGGCTCGTGAATTAGAGATTTCGCATATTAAATTTTCCTATTGTAAAACGTGACTCTTAATTATTTCCTAGAAATAGAGTTCAAGAGAATGGGACCCCGAAAACATGGCAAATGTTTCGTGGATATAAAAACATTTCTTCCTGCTAGAGTCAAACCAGGCATCTTGAGCCAGACTTGTGATATCACTTTTTTATTTTACGCTGCAACATGTAAAAGAACAGATGATAAACAGGAAGACAGGGTTACCCCCTAGAAACATGGAAAGTGCAGACTGGCTCAGAGGTGAGACCTTGTTGAGCAATTAATCCAAAGTGTTAGAAGGTTCTGGAGTCAAGTTCTCGAGCTTACAGATGGTATCAGAGAAAGCGCTGGCTCAGAACTCAGAGGACCTACACTTTGAGACTTTGCCCCATCAATTTCAGTTGTGCAACCATTGACGGGTTCCCAAATTCTGACTATTAGATTTTTTTGTCTGAAAAATTGGGTTGTGGAAGGGATTAAATGAGATAATGTAAGTAAAGATACTTTGTTCCAAGAAAAGCATAATTCGCATTATTTATTACCTCGCCTGCTAACTTACATTAAAAACTATTTTAATCTGAGTGTCCCAAAGGTGTGAGCTTTCAGAACCTAAGAAGAAAAATGACATAATACCACCTCTGTAGCCTGATGGTTATGCATCTTCATCCTGGCTTTAAGGAAATGACCAACAATCGCTGGCTCTGGCAGTCCTTGCAACTTTCCCTGAACTCCCATGACTTCAACAAATGACACATAGCCGAGAGCTTCCTACTCTGCAATTAGTCACATCAGTCTGAAGGCTCCTAACAGTTTGGTGATCACAGCAGTATGTTCTTTTGCTTCCTGAGATTCCTGCAAAGCTGGGGGAGGCAGCTTTGCAATGACACGTGAGGCCATCTCCACCACCAGCACCTGTCTTCCAGCTCCACCCTGCCTCGGTCATTTGAGGGGCTCCAGCTGGCATGCACGCGCATCACTCCCCACTGTTAGCCCTCCACTGAAGGAGTCAGTGACGTCCTCCCGCCTTACGATGGTCAGGGCATACTGACAACCGGCCCGTCCTGGAAGACTAAGACCAGCACCAGCTTGGAAAGGCCTTCGGGGCACTGTTCAAAAGTCACTGGCTCTTGTCCAACAGAATAAATTAGGTTCCTGTTGGGTAGGCCTCCTAACGGCAGAGTACGAAGAGATGCATGATCATGCGTTTCACCTCCTAATATGAAACATACTTGTCCTGGCATAGAAACCATAGGGGTGGACACAAATTCCACCATTCTCACAGCAACACTGTTCGAGTGCAAGGTTGGAAATAGAGACATGATTCTGAATAAAGCGTTCGAGTTGGCGCTGTTCTAGACACCCTTCCTAGGGATCTTAAATTGTGTTTAACAGAACTGGAAGGGACCCTGGAGACCAGTTAGCAAATGGCATAACTAAGTCACAGAGAGAGGAAGCGACATCCCCAAGGTCACCCAGTGAGCGGCAAAGCTGGGAACAGAGCCCGGGGCTGCCCCACCCTCCAGACTCGGTGGCTGTTTCCGTAACCAAATAAACATGCTCTGCCCCGAACCATTTAGCACCTAAACTGAACATAACCTCTGGCTGCCTCCTTACCCAAAAGGAAGGGGCATGGTCACATATCTCCCCGGTGCCCCTGCAGCCCAGTGACTCCCCAGCACAAATCAGAACCGCCATCAGCCAACCTGGTATCGAACTCTGGCTCTTGCCATCCCACCATGCTACTTTCCGCTGTCAGCAGACACCCAATAAATACTGGGAACTGATTGGCTGATTGATGAGCTAATAAATAGTACCGTATACAGCTTCCTTCCTGAACTCACAGCCAAAGCAACTCCACTAAACGGCCTCTTCTCCTCCTTTCTCTTCTCCTTGGCTTGCGTATAAATTTTAAGACTCGTCATGCAACATGTCAGAAAAGCAATTACTTTGGGGTTTACCCTTTAAAAAAGAAAAAAGCACCGAAGTCCATAGGGGAAAATTTCCCTGAACTGAAAACCAACCAGAAAATGTGCCCCAACTGCGATGACACACGGAGCTCCAGGGTGCTCTAACCTGATGGTCCATCAGGGTGTGGAGAGCTATTTCCCCCAGCTTCTGAGAGAGATGGGAACACAATCTTTTAATCCGGCCAGGAGGTGAGAACTAGAGAGAGATCTAAGGGCAGAGGCCGCTGACAAATGCAGGATAAAGTCTGGGCTCCAGATACCAGGACAGCAGCCATAAAATCTGGGGGGCCCAGGAATAGGACAGCCTGAGTGTGAGTGACTGTGTGCATGTGTATATATGAGTGTGTGCATGTGTGCAAATGCATGAGTGTGTGCATGTGTGTGCATGCATGTATGTGTACATGTGTCTATGAACGTGTGTGTGCATGTGTATGTGTGCGTGTGTATGTGTGCGTGTGAATGTGTGTGTGTGTGTGTGTGTGTGTGTGTGTGTGTTTGTGCATGGCAGGAACTGAGCCAGTACTGAGCTCCATTCGATTTGGGTACCAAGGATTTATCCTTAGGACTTGGAGTAAAATAGACACATATCTAAGCATAGGGGACAGTTCCAAGCAGAAGAATGAGCAAGCAGGTCTCGCTCTCCTTAAAGGTGTTTTTCAAGAAAACTTGCTTCCTCTATATTAACACAATGCAGGATTGATTTCTACTGAGCCATACTACACACTATGCATGTGAGTGTGCGCCTGTAATTTTGTGCACAGACCCCAGACTCCCAGGTTCCCAGAAGTCTCCTGGTCCTTGTGGATACTGCATCGTGGTGCCAGCCACCGTCACAAATGCCCACAGCCTTTCCCATCCACTTATTTGACCAAAGATAGACAATGCAGAAGAAAGCATCATCGGATCCTGGAATTAGTGCGGGGAGACAGGTAAAGGTAATTTCCGCATTAAAACAACTTTCATTCCTTCTCATCCTTCCCCCCAGTGAAATCAGAAGTCAGCAGAGGCCCGTGAGATTTCAGGCAATTCAACTCAATCTGTGGACCCAATGACATCTTAGACAACAAAGAACCAAGATCACCTGTCCCTCTTAACTTGGGCTGGCTGGCCACTGGCTCTTCTTCCAAGTAGCCTTCAGACTCATCGGGCCTTACAAAGCTGTGTTTCCCATCCTCAGTCAGAAGGCACAGATCAGTACACCCAGGAGAAGCACGCATGCCTTGTTCAGAAAATTTCCTGTGTAAACGCTGGGACCCTTTCCACGCCAAGCCTGGCGCAGGCTACTTCCGACCACAGTGTTACCGTGGCGTGTGGGCTGCCCGGTGGGGGGCGGGGGACACAAAACCACATCACAGCAAAAAACAACTCCTAACGTCAAGCAAAAAGTCAAACCAGTTAAAACGGGACAGTGCAGCTGTCCCCGACTGCTTTAATATACTACGAGCGACGGCTTTCTTAACATCGTGAAAATCCTAGAGGGGGCGCAGAGTGGGTGAGCAGCTCACACACAGATAAATCCCTGGACAAGGCCTGCAAAGTCTCCCCATCAGTGGCAGTTGGGAAAAGGGCTCCCCTGCCCCAACTCAGTAGCCCAAGTGCCACTAAGGCCACGGCAGACCTCCTCAGCCACCTGTATCGGGAAATCTGAACAGATATGTGGGCACCCAGAGAGATCTTACTCAATCACCCTGTGGGCAGAAAATCCCACAGTTGCCACAAGCAGATATAAAAAAGCAAACAAACATGATTCGCTGGATTTAGATTCAAAAGGGGGGAAAGGATGCCTGGAGCTGGGGGCGGCATCCGAGCAGTCTATTTCGAGGGGCTCTAAGCACCTGTTTGCAAGCACTGTCTCTCAAAATAGCATTCAGCAACAAGTTTCTGAAATGGCAAACCTAACCCAAGGCTGCTTTTCCCTGGGAATGCTTTGTCATGCTGATGCTCTGACCCAAGAAATCATTTCCAAAGGGCCTGCAGGAGGAAGCAGAGCAACATAGAGTGTGTCTGCAGCAGCAGCAGCAGCAGGAGCAGAAGCAGGGGTGGCTGGAGCGGCCACTGCCTGGGCCCCACCTCCCCGAGCACTCACCATCAGCAGGCTGAGAGCAGAGTCGGGCACCAGCTGCACTGCCATGGTCTCCGATTCCCATGCACAGACACGCCTGCAGAGTCAGTCCGCCTGGGCCCCGGGTAGCTGCAAAGCATCCACAAGCACCTGCAGCGAACCAGCCAGAAATCCAGACTTAGGGTGCAAAAGGCTCAGGGTAGATGGGCCACATTTCACATGGGGTGGGGCAGAGGACAGGAGGACGTTGGGAGGATGGGGTGGAGACTGTGCTTAGGGAGAAAATAAAAAAAAAGGAGGAAACTAGGGACCTGCAGGTTATTTAAAGGTGAGCCCTCCCTGGTTTCGCTAAGCTGCACAAACAGAGAAATCACATCCAACACAAATGGAAAAGCTTAGAACACAGAATTTTTCACTGCTACCTTAGCCTAGGCAGCAATTCTTCTTTCGACTAACAATTAAAATAAAACAGTCCCTATTGCAGATAAATCAAGCAGCCCGAGCAACCCCCATCTCTCTGCCTCTCTCAGCAATTCTGCTGCATAAACATGCTGAATGTCACAACCTACCGCTCGCAATCTGGTCAGTGTCTTCTTTCCTGCAGATAGGTGTATCCCTTTCGCAAAATCAAATATCTGGGAGTGAGAGCCAGCCGGGTGTGACCAGGAGACACCAGGCAGTCACTGGCGATCAGCAAAATGCCCTTATCACGGAGGGGGAAGTCACTTATGCACTGACCCCTTCCAAATCTACTTTTCCTCTGCAAGTAGACTGGCAAGCTCAGTTCCCCGCAGGGCTAACATACTTACGAGGAGCATGGAATTACACCGCCTGTTCCGTGAGCGTTCTGGTCTCCCAGCCTGCACCACATGTACGCCGCATGCAGACACCCTCTACCTCTCTCTCCCTCCCTCCCTCCCGCCCTTCCTCCCTCCCTTGCTTCCCTCCCATGTCTCCACAGGGCTGCCTGTTAGGAATTTTGAAGGAGACTCCTTAGCTCAGGAGGGCACGGGAGGCTAATTTGCAGCAAGAGACACCGCTTCAGACAAAAAGGCAAATCAGCCTTAAAAATCACACTATGCAGCATCTTCCCTGGAAGATGTCAATGGAAATAAGATTAAAAAAGGAAAGTAGCCTGCCCGGTCTTGTTATGTAATGAGAGGCTCAAAAGGGCTTCCCAGAGTCGCGGATTTAAGAAAATTAGGCATCTTTTTTATGAGCACTGCCAAGCTTCTATCCTCTTAAGGAGTCCACGTATTCACCTAGAAATGGTGATTGCTAATACCGCTCGTGGTGGATTTCATGTCCTTTTTCTGATTTCTTCCTTCACTCACACCCCTACCATGGCTCCAAAAATTCCTTGAAATTAACTGGACAGTGTGACATGTAGACACAGGGAGACCAGCTTTCTAAATGAGAAACTTAAGAAATTAATAACTTTTAAACATTCCTATGCACAAGCATAGATGTTGTTCCTATCTGACTTACACTTTTCAAAGTATCTGAACATCGCAAAGGTTGGCACGGAATAAGTGTTTAAAAAATAGTCATTAAATGAATGAAGTGTCCTCCTCCCTGTTTCTCCTCCAGTGGCCCAGTGAACTTGAGAACCTTTATTCCGGGATGTGTGATTGGATTCGGATACAATTCGAATTCACCTCTGGTTCACCTCTGGAACCCCTGAGGGAATCACTCACTTCCTGCTCTCAGTGCCGGGAGATTCAAGGCATGATCTGAATCACATGAGCACGTCCTTGCACAGAGCTGTCAGAGCTACTGGTGGGTTCAAAAATAATATTCAAAAACAGTATTTATACTAGTATTCAAAAATAATAATGATGATGATTTAAGGAGAACATGTATAATAATGATTTAAGGGACCTTATCTTAACCTAACTGCACACGGATTTCTAAATGTATTCAGCTGGTATTGGCAGAGATTTTACTTTGTACCTCTGCACTCAAGGAACTTTTAATCTGGTGGAATCATTGCTGACACCAGACAAGATGTGACAATTGCTAAAAAACAAATAGTTTGAATAACACGGAGTAGGAAGAGCTTACTTCTGGCTTCAAGGATGTGTTAGTTCTTGAGCTAGAACCTGAGGAACGGCAGGACACCTTTTCTATGACGTTTATTTTCTGATTCCACATGGACCATGTGTTTGAAAAATACTGAAAGTGTAAGGGAAAAAGTTAACATTGGAGCTATTTCAAAGGGTGGATGTGGGCAGAGGGAGGCGCACCCCACAGAGAGACCTGCAGGGGAAGGGAAAGAAGGGAGGGGAGGGGAGTCTAGGACACACTCAGGTGGGGATGGTTGGCCTGGCCCTCAGCAGCCCTGCCCTCCTCTCTCAGCACTTCGCTCATGGTTCCTTTGCCTGGAAAGTCTCATCCTATGTCTGCTGGAAGCACAGTCCAGATTCTCTAGAAAACAGCCTCCGCAAACCTCTGTGTGACGACATCATTGGCAGGTGCAGTTGCAGGGTGACCAGAGCGGGGGAGGAGGGGAGCGAGGCAGGGATGGAATGAGCGCAGATGGAAGGGGATCTCCACCAAGCCAGCCACAGTGCAGTGAGTCACAGGGAAAGGCTTGCAGACCGGTGTGGAACCTCCACTCACTGGGGTAGCCCATCAAGAGAGGAAGGCAGAGGGAGCTAGCAGCCCAGCACTGCCCACTTGCTGACTCTCGTTGGTCAGATTTGACCCCATCAGACATTAACTCTCTGGCCCTTCAGGGTTATGCTATTATACCAGCTCCTCCAGGCAGCTGCGAAAGGCGTTGCATCTGAGCCCAGAGTGGAGGAGAAGCCACAGCCTTTGTGAGTCAGGAGATGAGACCTGAGTTTCGGGGTGATGACACTCTTCCCTCAGTTCATGTGATGGAAGCCATCCCAATGCCTGGCCGCGTGGGGACAGCGGGCAGTGCTAGGAGTTGAAGTGACAATGGCAGCATCTGGGCTCCCCCATGAGCAAGTGGCCAAATCCCAGGGGGGTTGGTGGAGGGGTGCAAATAAATCTTGGAAATACATAAACTGAGTCTGATGAAAGTATATATATTTACACAACTTTCAATGTCAAAGGTTCACGAAATTTTTCCTGATTTTTCTATTTGGGCATTCATATTGGCTTTGTTTCTACAGCTTTTCAGTTACTTTTTTTTTTCCTCCAAAAAATGATAGTTATTCACTTCTCTCTGTCCTGCCCCTACCAGAGAGGGCAACCTGAGGTCAGAACGATGTTCGTTCATCTTTGTTTACTCTTGTAGCTCTACGCATCAAACTCAAATAGCAATCGGTGTTCAATAATATTAAACCAGGCTCCAATGGAGATGCCAAAAAGTTAAGCACAAAGAGGAAGGAGGCAATGACAGCACCCCAAGGGGTGGGTAGAACGGGGAGTTTGTGAGAAGTAACGGGGTGACAGAGAGGGAGCTATCTGTCAGAGGGGGAAAGGAGAGCCCCAGAACTCACGCGACAATGTCATTCCACAACGATGGCTTGGGGGTGGGGAATTTTAGTCGAGTTATGGACACAGAAATCAAATTGCAAAGGATTATGGAGCAGTTTGTGAGGAAGAGGTGCTCATTCATATTATAGAGACCCTCCTCAAAAAGCAGTGAAATATGAGCTCTCTAGGTCCTTTCAAGAACTTGGTCAAGGTCACAGAAGGACCTTGAACAGCAATTCTGTCCTCTGAGTCCCCAGGTTCCATCCCTGGCTACTCTTGCCTCCCAGGAGAGCTACACAAGTAATCCATTTCCACGTCTCTCCTCCTCAAAAGTCCCCAAATGAAGGATGGGTTCATGTTACACTCCTCAAAAGCTATGACAAAAAACAGCCCTTAAAAATCCCTTCTGTATCCAGCATGAAGCTGTTGTCCAGCACTGATCATAAGATCACTCACTGCCGCCTGCGTACATTGCCTGACATGAGAAATTTCTCTCGGAATTTTGTACAAGGAAAATGTCTATCGTCCTGAGCTAGCCTGTGCAGTAGGTGGCTTTGGCCTCTGAAAATGCGCTGGGCTATTTTATTGGCAGAAATCTGAATTTCTATCCTGTCATTTGCTCTGTGATCCAGGGCAAGTATCACAAGGGTGGGGTGAAACTCAAAGAAAATATTATTGACTATACTTTTTGTTGAGTTGCGCATAGTAGGCATTCAATAACCGTTAGTCCCCTTTTCATTGTGATAATGAGAATAATGTAACTAATCACAGTTGGCACATTTGACTGCCAGAATGCCCAGAACCTAATTTTACTTTCAATTGCAGCAGATATTATCATAGTTGGCATTATTATTCGTTTTTCTCAACCTTGTTTTTCCTTTTAATTCATACCATATTCCTCTTATGTAGTAGGCCTTTTTGTCAGCAAGCCATCTGAAATTCTTTTTTGCAAAGAGAAGATGGGGCAGAAATCATTCTTTAACGTATAAACTGTTCTCAAATTTGGCACACTGAAATATCGTTCAGCTATTAAAATTGCAATTAGGAAACTATTTAGAAATATCACAAATGACAGAGATATAATGATGATTTGACCGTAAAGTGGTACATATACTCTAATTGCAATGATGTAAATATTTGTATTTTAAGAAAATATGAAGGAACTTCTGCTTCTAGCCAAGATGGCATAACAGGGACCAAATTTACCTTTCAAATGAAGCCAACAAAAAAAATTGAACAAAATATGAGACAATACTTTGCAAGACAATGGACATAAAACAACAAAGGACAGTGATTCATGAGAGAAAAGAAACAAATGAGATGAGCCTTACAATTGCCCCAGATTAATGAACTAAGAGTGCTTCTGGGCTGCAGAACAGAGGGGAGAACCAGAGGGAATCAAGGGTTCTCCCTAAGTTGATTGGACAGAGCTGAGAGCTAGGGAGGATGAAGATGGTCAGAGTTCCCAAGGCAGAGCACCAAAGAGGGGAAAGGTACAGAAAGACAGAACCTCAGAGATCTGCAAAGACTGCCCTTGAGCATCCATTCAGTTGAGCACCGATCGCCATGTGCACATGAGGAAGCCACTCAAGGCTGAGGAAAGACCCAGGTAAAAGGATTAGAAGGAATGGTGACCGGTGCTCACATGGGGCCAGTGATAGTGACCGTGCCTACCAGCCAGACTGGAGAACCACACAATGCAATGATGGTGCATTACTAGAATACTCAGAAGGCTTTTGACTTCACGGTGAGAAATAATTGGCCATAGATTGATCACTGACCCAAATCTTCCTAACAAGTCTGAAAAACAAATTAAAATCTTAACGAGATGCCACAACACACCTATTTGATGGCTACAATGAAAAAGACTGACCCCAGCAAGTATTAGACAGCATGTGGCAATCTGGAAAAAGGTCTGGCAGTTTTTTAAAATGTTAAACATACACCTACCTTATAATCCAGCTATTGCAAGAAAAAGGAAAACTTATGTCCACACTGAGACTTGTCCGTAAATGTTTGTGTGAGCTTTATTTATAATAGTCAAAACCTGGAAATAACACAAATGCCCATCAATGGTAAATGTACAAACAAATCCTGTATCCATATAATGGAATCCTATCCAGCAATAAAAAGGAATGAAGTACCGATAGATGCTACCACACAGATGAACTCACGAGCATTAAGCAAAATGGAATAAGCTAGATACAAAAGACTGTATCTTGCTTATTCCATTTATATAAAATGTCCAAAAAGGACAAACCTATAGAGGCAGGTGGTGGCTGCCTGTATCCAAAGGTGAGAACAGGCAGTGACTGCAAATGGGTTCAGATGATCTTTGGGGGGCGGTGAAAGTTCTCCAAAATTGCACTGTGGTGATGGTTGCACAGTTCTGGAAATTTCT